ATTTATATCATATAAAATCAAAACCTTTGTAAATTTGAAAAATGACATTTCTATGTATAGAATATTATATCGAGAATATACATGTATATATGTATATGTAGTGTATGTATATATGTATGTGTGTATCATTGAATTGTAACGTGTTATTCTAAACACGTTATTTGCGATGAATATCATCACATGCCTCTGTAGTCGACAAGATAAGATGCCTGCTCGGTAAGCAGGAGATCCAGGTTCGATTCCTGACTGAGGTATTTTTTGCAAAATAGTTGCGGATTTTTACGACTGGTTCGTTGTCGAGCCCCGTCCGCCCTCCCTTCGTATCCTCTTTTTATAAAACTAAGATCACCAAATATAATTATAAAAATAATAAAATGGAAAAGGATATTTAGACAATATTCCTTTGACAATATTTTGTATTGTAGCTTGAGAGACGAGTTCAATATCATGAACATTTGAGACCAGTGTGCTTACCAACTGCTGCCACTACTCTTACACCTGGTACAATTTGTACTGTCATTGGTTGGGGCAAGAAAAACGATACTGATTGTAAGTGTTACTTATGTGTAAAAAATATTACTCTCAAAATACGATGTAGTAAAAAGGGTAGTGAGAATCAGCGCTGTTTATGGCGCGCAATAAGCCGTGTCCATCCGATAATTGACAACCCTTAAAAACTGTCCTATCTCTTTAAGGATGACATGACGATGCGATCATAATAATTCGAGTTAGCGAAATTAACGTTAGTGAGCACGTCGGATGAGCACGGTATCTTATCTTTATTTTTTGTATACACTGAGGATGAGTCAAACTAGAATCGAAACGTATGTTATATATTTTTAAATTATAATAAAGAATGTAAATTGTGCACCATAAACAGCACTGATTCTCACTGCCTCTTTTATCGTATCTAATACCGGGAATCATCTCATTAATATTTACTCTCAAAATATTTGTTTGTAATATTAATTTATAATATAAACAGCATATTGATTTATAATATAAACAATTTAATATAATTATAGAGACACTCTTTAAGAAAGTTTTTCTTCTCTTTCTTATAGTTAGTTATCTCTTATAATTAGTTTTCAAAGCATAAACGAAATATAAAATTGTAAAATTTATAAAGCTTGCTTTATAAATATAATATCGTCAACAAATTATAAACAATCAGCTCAATTTTACTTTCAATTTTTTAGCATACTTTTTCTCTTAAATATATTATAATAGTAGAAAAAGGTATACAAAATTAAATTTAATTATTATTCTGCTACTTTACAGCCTCTGAATATGAGCCAGCTGTAAATGAAGTTGAAGTTCCTATTTTGAATCGACAGACTTGCAACTTGTGGTTAGCGCATAAAGAATTGAATGTCACCGATGGGATGATCTGTGCCGGTTACTCAAAAGGAGGAAAAGATGCATGCCAAGTATTTATAGTATTTATTTATTTTCGCGAATAAAATAATAATTATCAATTATTTAAATTTATTTTTTTTCAAGGGTGATTCTGGAGGACCTCTGCTATGCCAGGATAAGCATGATGAGGAGAGATGGTTTGTCGGCGGAATTGTCAGCTGGGGCATAAAATGCGCCCACCCAAAACTGCCCGGAGTCTACGCTTATGTGCCGAAGTACGTATCGTGGATCCAAGAAGAAATGTCTAAGTATTCCGACGATAATAACAATAAGAACAATGAGAAAACGCAAGTTACCCAGGCAGGTAAAATATTCGGTATTAAAACCGATAACATCGAAATAGATTGAGCGGAAATGGAGGAAAAACATAGAAGAGGACGTAAAATGTCTAAAAACTTTCGTATTTACATAATATTTATTGGAAGCGGAAGATACATATCCGAAAGAAGTTACGGATTTCCGATCTGCTAATCTGCGCTTAGCGATTTCTGTATTTCAATTAAATGGTAGTATTTTTATACACACACACACACACACACACACACACACACACACACACACACACACACACACACACACACACACATATATATATATACGTACTGGAGCTTTATTAGTCCTTCCAACCCTTCGTATTCGAAATTTCACGATTAATGCCAATCATTCGTCGTTTCCCTAGCAGAAGTGCTAAGTTACCGGAATCATTTGTAATAAACTTGCTTGAATAATAATAAATCTTTCTGCCACGAAATTACCTTGATAAACGGAAAATTTGTAGCCGCAAGATCTCGTATATTCGAAACCTTATCTTTTCAAACCGGCAAAATATATATTCCGGTTAGTTGTAAAACAACGTTATTTAATATGTTAAGAATTCAACAATGAAACCTAACTTGTATGAACGAAATTAAAAATATTCACATCAATAAACAAGCGCGAGTAATTATTTAAATGCTTAATTAAAACAGATATTTCAGCGCTTTATAATATTCTCTTTTACACTATATCCATCGCGATCTGTACGGAACATAATTCATAGAAGATGCAATGGAAGATGCGCCGTGGCCGTCTTGTATAATCGGATTTGTTAGTTGAATTATATTACAACTAACAATAAGAGAGTTTCTTAATAGTTCTACCTCGGCGAGGATAACATTGTTCTGTTCCCGACAGTTTAACAACGCGAACTTGGCGAACAACGCTGCAGCTGTAGCTTCACATCGCGCTTATGATCCACATCTTGTACATTTCGCTGCATCTGGACATGCAACTCGGAAAATAATAGATAGCTCCTCTCCTTTGGCAGGTCAATAACTGTTCGCGTAATATCGAAGAGGCCACACACACACACACACACACACACACACACACACACACACGCGCGCGCGCGCGCGCGCGCGACGCTTGATAATGTGTTTAACCAAGAATATGTTCAAGTATTATGTACCTTTTTGTAAACTCGAGGATGAATATTGGATCCAAGTTAGATTACCTCAGCCAAGTTCCAACGTTTGAACGCTTTACGTTTCAATTTGATGGTATATAATTGTGCCATCATCATCGTCATCGAGCGGCACCGTCGAATGTAGATCTCGAATAAATACGTTAATCGTTTGACGGATGTTCTTTGATCTCCCTACGAGGGCGCAAATGTTCAAAATTCACGGTCGGAGATTTCGATGGGAAACGAAATTCCTTTATGGAAATCCAAGGGAAAGGGAATTGAGACCGGCTGTAAAATTATTCTATTAAATTACAGCTATTCGAAATCGTGCGTAATTAAATCCGCGAAACGTGACAAAAGCTGCAAGGTCGTCGAGCACTCGTACCTTACCGTGTTATCCCCATGATCCATGATGGCCGTGATAATGTCGCGATTAAATATTGACACGTGAGTGAAACTGCCATTGCGTAAGGTAATTATTATTATTATTATTATTATTATTATTTTTAGTTAAACATCACGTATATCTTAATCCATGTATATTCTATAAGCCAAAGACAACAGGGAACATGATTGCAGTAGATAATGGAAACGAATTGCATTCTACGAACGTATCGTACGCTACCCTCGTACACATTCATGATAGTTTATCATAATTAACTTAAAGCCATTGTTTTAATTAAATTTGCTTGTTACGTGAGAACACGCAGAAGGATCAAATCGCTGTCTGGCATGAACGATAAAAATAATCAATTCTATTTTCATCCTATTAGAGTCGATTGATACCTCACGCTTTTTCCCGTTGCTGGAGTTACAATTCGCACAATAAATTGTACACGCCTCGCAAAAAACTTTTCTAAAAACGCTCTCTCTCTCCTCTCCTCGTTACTGTCCACCGAGATAATAAACAAACGATTATTCCGGGATGGGATTGGAAAATAACAATTAATGTACACGACCGATATATATATATATATCTGTCAGTCCATGAAATCCGAAACACTGCGTATACACACCGGATTAATGAGTGCGAAAACAATAATCGCGTACCCGGCCTGGGATAGCGAATCATTTTATGATTTCTCAAAGCCCTCATTATGTTTGTAAAACGTTTGCGAAATCCGCGGACATCCTGTGGAGCTTCGGATTATTTAAACTTTGATTATCGGAGCTTTAAATAACTGAATTCCCGTTTCGAGAAATATAGGAGACTGGCTCACGTATCCCCAAGAAATTCCCTTCGTTAAGGGAGAAAGATTTCGATTATAGGGGAAGGAATTGTTGCCAAGGTAGGGGAAACACGTCGCTGGCAAACTCGTAGGGTCGCTTTAAGAGTTGGATCAAGGGAGAGACCGTTGACCGTCGAGCGGTGCCAGGCAGTGTCGGAAATGTGCGAATGAAAAAAACTTGAATGAGGAAATCGGATTCGATCAACACTTTGATACGAGAAGTAATTAGTTGTTTCGTTTGATGAGTCGTTCCGACTATAACTTACGCAATTTGCTCGGAGTTCAGAAGCCCCGTGGGATTTCAGTAATTATTTGGCGTTACCGCCTCCGGAGCAATCGGGCGAAACTACAAATGGATCTTTTCCCACAACGACTCGTTTGCCACTTGCGCTAATAATAATCGTTTAGAAGTTTGCGCGATCGATTTACCAGCGCCACGATCGCCAGCTTGCAGCTCGACATTACCAGCTTACTTTGTATCTTATCATGTATTTTCCCTCGAGCCCACGTAACGTCAATTAAGAACGCTCGAGAATTATTACATAAGACTTAGTTAACTTGGTCGCCGATAATCGAAACGCTGATGGGCACGTCGTGAAAAAAAAGGACGCGTGATGCAAACGTCGTTGCATCGCTGATTATCCGGTTCATTGACTGGCAGCTTCGTCAATGATTCTGACGTCATCTGACGTGAAGCCAAGTAAGGGTAAAAGCGAGGCTATTTTTAATATCGCACTTGGCCTCGGGACTCTTCCCAGTTTGTCTCGTCTTGTCGCGACAGCACACCGAGTCGTGCCTCCTCCCTTCGACGTAATCGTCTTAAGTGAAATGTTACACGGTAATTTATTACACCGGAGGATTTCTGCCGTATGATATGCATGCTCGGGATTCAGGCATTATGCTCCGACGCGAACTTTCAGAAGCAGAAAACTCACGAGTCGAGAGATGCATTTAAATTAGTACGACGAGCGGTAAATGCGGTATTGTTTTGCAAACATGCGCGTTTTCTCGAGCATAAATTTCGTTGGTGAAACGAGGTCATTTCGCGGGAAAATCGTTGCGCCTACAGATGTCCAGCGTGATTTGCGTCGGTGATGCGAAAAACAAACGACGCAATTTTTCTCCAAACGAAACGTCAACGATGCATACGCGGGCGTCTTTCTCTTTCGGTTGCAACATTAAGAGCGTTTTGTCAACGCTTTCAATCAGGACATGCACATCCTGCACGCGCTCTTTTGTCGAGCGTACGAGCCTCTAATCCGATCGTAAGGGAAACGTGCATCCGGAAACGGCGCAGCATCGTTTGACGATTATAGCTACCCTTCATGCCACGCGGAAAATAGAAATTAACATGAATAATAAGGGCGGTTGAACCGTGAAGAGATTATCGGGCTAAAAATATCTCCCGTAGGGGAGAGCCACGTCCTCCTTTGGGAAGGACGCGCTCGTTGAAAATGTCAGATTTTTCGGTTTGCATCGCGTGAAATTCCGAGCGAGCGCAGGCGAACGCATTCTAAAACAGAATTATAAAAGAGGACATCGGTTACGGAAAATGTGTGTAAAATCGGATGAAAAAGAAACTGCCACTTCATGTCACATTTTTTTTCCCCGACACTTTGACCGTTGGAGAGAGAAAGAGAGAGAGAGAGAGAGAGAGAGAGAGAGAGAGAGAGAGAGAGAAAACTTTGTGGATTTTATTTAACAGACACTAAAGTTAAATCACTTTAACATTTTCTTTACGTGTTACGGAAGAATGACTCTTCTGTTACGCGACGATCTATATAATGTTGTCAAATAATTTTTACAACATTGACGCGCACTTTTATCATCATCAATAGGGGATTCGATTCTCAATACGTTTTCTATTTCTGTTTGCAGACAGCAACTTTGTACTGGGAAATGCGCAGGTTCCGACGATCTATCCGATCGTCTATTGCTCCGATGGATTTTGCGATCTGACAGGATTCGCGCGAGCGCAGATCATGCAGAAAGGTTGCGCTTGCAAGTTCCTTTATGGGCCGGAAACGAAGGAGGAAGATAAGGCCATGATTGACAAGAGCCTCGAGAGCAAGACGGAATTGAAACGGGAGGTCGTCTTTTACAAGAAGAACGGTGAGTTTCCCGAGATATCGGCGGATGTTTTTGCGAACTGCGAGGGATCGCACTGAGTATTGTGCCAGAGAAGAAATCCTAAAAGATTACCTCTCTACTTTCATCATCAAGATTATACATATTTTATGATGCGTATCTTCAATTCCAGTATTTCAGGGAAATTACGTTTGCGGCTTGGACCTTATTGCCTAATATTTTTTATTTAGAATTGAACATCTTTTAGTCTTGTATATTTAATGTAATTTTCCATTGCTTAGGATTTGGATTGAAAATAAGCATCATTAATAGGAGAGAAACGTTACGTAATGCAGATTTGTAATTATGTTTTAAAAAAGAAAAAAAAGTGTCTTAAAAAAGAACGCGAAATCTTTAATGATATATCTGCATTTAGAAGAGTGAATGAAAAAGAAAATGCATGCAATAGTGAGAGTCATTATCGATTTACATTTTTCAAAGTTGCGCGACATTAAGGGACGTTTTCTAAGAAAACTTTCTGTGCAAAACTAAATGAAGTAATCTTGTGGCCGCGCCGTTGACGCTCTTCGTTTTTTTCTTCGCGCAAAATCAATCTACGGTAAAGTTAATCGAGAGGCTTTCCGTAATATATTTCGTGTTATTATCTCGACCCAGAATTTATTTTTCCGGTGACATGGTTTAATTGAGTTTTTTATTTGCCGCGCGCAAATATAAGTTAATTGTCGGTTCGCGAATTTGCATAATCGACGTCACGCATCGGGAAGTCCTTATTTGCATTATTATTATTTTTTCGGGAAAGTCAAATTATCTTCCATAATGATTCGCGAAGGAAACTGCGTGCATTATCCGCGTAAACGCGAAGAAAAACTGATGTAATGAGAGGAAAAAAAAGGAAGAGGAGGAAAAAAGATCAGTCTTGAATGCGAAAAAGACAATCTCGTAAATAAAGAATTGCAAGGGATGTGCCGGCGAAACGGAAATTCTCTTCTGTATACGACGCGATACTTCTTTTGTAGGC